TTGGGCCTCATCAAACTACCTGGCTAGCTTGATATGGTTAAAAAAAAAGGGAGGGGCATCTTATGAACACGGTCTCCTAAATTTGGAACAATTCAGGCTGCTGTCACGAGCATGCAACCCACTACACGACGTTATTATTGAAACATTGATCAATGCGGTCAGATACTGGAAAATATCTTAGGTAAGGAATAAGAGTGGGTCCGAATGTATTTCGCTTATCACTAAGGCAGGACACTGTAATCCATCATCTGATCGGGAGCCCAAGACAAGTAGCACCCGAAACTCACGGGTAAGAGGTGATGGCCTCTCCGGTCTGCCGGTAGGCGGGTGGTAGATGAGCTAGGTGTGGTGTGGGATAGCGGAAGAGAGAGTGGATGGGGGAGGGGGAGGGAGGGAGGGAGGGAGGGAAGGGAGGGAGGGAGGGAGGGAGGGAAGGAGTCAGGAGGAAGAGGGAAAGTGGGGAAGAGGGATAGAAAGCGAGAACGTGTGCGAGAAAGAGAGAGGGAGAGAGTGGATGGGGGAGGGAGGAAGGTAAGGAGGAAGAGGGAAAGTGGGGCAGAGAGAGAGAGAGAGAGAGATGGGAGGGGGCGTGAAGGGAGGGACAGAAGAGGGCAAATGGGGGTGGAGTTATCCATCTCTATCGTTCTCCTTGGAAGAGGGGAAGGGGTAGGGGCTGACGACAAGCAGACAAATAAGCTGCTTGAACCAAAATGACGAATTCCAGCCCCAAAATGAAAATATTGAGAGACTACCCCATTTGCACTTTCTTTCAGGTTTCAATCAATTTTATTCACTATTTTATCATACATGTAACAATATCGAGAACATGTCATAGGAGTAAAGTCTTGAAAAGGTAGATGAACGTACAAAGAAAGATAAAGGCATGTGGTAGGGGTTTTTCCCATAAAGAGATAAAATAGAAACCGGACCATTGATTGAATTGATTTTGGGTTTATCAGATAAGACTTGACCAAGATGAAGAGGCAATTACTTTCTACCTCTCCCATCTCACTCGCTTGACGATCTCTCTCTCTCTCTCTCTTCTCTCCCTCTCTCTCTCTCTCTCTCTCTCTCTCTCTTTCTTTCCTCCCCGACTTTTTTCCGCATTTGCATACACTAGGCTCTCTTTTTTTTGCATTACCCTAATTTTTTTCAGATGCGCGTTATATTAGGTTGAAATTGACAATGGTTGGGGGGGGGGGGGGGTTCCATAGCATTGCAATTAATACAAGTTCTTGTTTAAAAGTACAATTCCGATTATTGAATCAGTATCATATTATGGGTCCATACGTAGACTTTCATTTTATCACTATGGCAACAAGATACCATGATGACCATGATGACCCTATAGAGCAGTACTCATCGCACCTGGGTTGTCTTCCAATCCTATACCAACCACTGTTGGTAGAAGCCACGGAGGGGTAATTTGTTGCCCCCATGTCATGTTACAGTGTCAAGGGAGTGAGTCTGTATGTGGTAGCGATGTCATCACACAATGAACAACAAACCAACATGATAGATGAACGCTCAATACAGCCATCATCATGAGCCAAGCCAGATCAGAACCCGACAGGTCAGCCATGACTCCCTCTGTCTCGAGTAAACACAGGCTCTCTTCATCTCCCTTGCCCACACCTTGCTACAATCATGTACCAGGTATATAGAATAAGAGTTGTTTGTTTCACCTTTTAAAAATAAAAGGACTCCAATTTGAGGTTCATCGAAGTAATTCAAGTTAGTTTAAACATGGACCTACTACGTAAATGACGGCAACGCTGCAAATGTATGGTGTGAAACGTTCCAATTGCCAGCATTGTATCTCTATCGAAGTCAATATTAAATGTTGATGACAACATAATAATGATTCCATTGATGAAGAGACACATCATGATGATAGTCTCATATTTAATGTCTTGTCTCGTGTATATGCTAATATGACAATCAACATGATAACATTTGGTTTTAACAATGAAAAGGCAAACTCTACTTCCATTACCTGAAAACGTTTCAAAGAGCCATTAATGTATTACTTCATTAGATACTGATGTAAAGTAAAGGCCTATGTAGATTACTAAAATACTTCTAACCGACCATGCACTCTATCATTACACTAAGCTTCTAGAGACTCTCTATATGAGAATTGGAATAAAAAGAGGGCTAACAAAAGGTACGAATTTAATTCTGGTGTGATTGTGGTGTCGCTTCCTAATTGTTGTTAGCATAGACCTCGCTCCAGGGAGATTCTTCACTTGAGGTCTGTAGACCAATCTCTTGAAATGTCGTTTGTCCCTTCATTGTTTGGTTCCTCCTAACCAGTCCCTTTAAAATATCTCATGTCCCTTTAAGGAGCCAGGAGAAGACAAAGGGGATGGGAGCAGATGAAAATGGTTTGCATGGGACATCTTCTGAAGTCATCTTCCGCTTCTCTTATCTAACCAACACGCATCTGTCGCATTCTCCTCATTCATTTATTCGAGATAAGAGGAAAAGCCAAGTCAAGGATTTGATTGGCAGAGTTATGCCAACTTAATGGACGCTCCACTTTCACATGTTCAAACTGTATACAACCATGCATACAAGCACAGTCACTGCAGAAAGAGAGATCTGTCTTGAAAGAGATGCATCCCGATCTCCAAATTTGCAGTGGTGCACGTCGTTGTATTGCTACAAGTTTTATTCTGATGTGAAGGGGAGGGAGGGGGTATCGTAATAGGCCCGCTTGGGTTGTTCCTTGTAGAGCGTCGCAATCACTTTTACTGGTAGGATTCACCTTTGAAGACACCATCAATGTCAAGCGTAAAGGTCTGAACATGGACCAATAACTTTCACCTCCATGACGAGATTCAATATGTCTGTTCTCTAGTTGGTGTACCCACGGGGTTTAATTTGACAAATAAACGTAAGCAAAATATTTAGCCTTGATAACGAGAGCTGAGAGAAACAAAATCCCAATTTCTTTGTCAAGATTGATTCTGTAAAGAGTAAAAGATTTATGGTTACGTTGTCCTTTCTTTGATTCTCAATCATTCTACGACGTCACATGTTCAACTCTGGTGTAACTTTGCTTTTGTTATTATTTTCATTGCGTGTATCACTAAGATAATAATGATATCACGACTATTCAAAGTTAATTTTTTTTCACCAATCTTTGGATCTTCTATCGTGACAATCAACAACCATCGCAATCACAATGTCCTCATCATCTCTTATTTCCCCCCTCTTTCTGTCTTTCTCTTTTTTGCTTTTTAATAATTTCAATATCTTTTAAAAAAAATATACCAAAAGACCAATACGCTTCACAACTCTTGAAAGTCTCTCTTTATTCGATTCGAGGAACACGATCGTCGTCATCATCATTATCATCATCACCAACATCCTTATCTTACATGTCTTATGTTTCCTTTCAATATATCTTCGTGTGGTCTTTGAGCAGCACATCCAGCACATTCAGCGCACCAGTCATGTCGTGTCACCCCATGAGCACCGGGCTGTTTGACATCATTGTTTGACTCACAATCCATCTTTTCGTCACATGATCTCTACATCTTCCACGGAAGCTACATCAACCTCATAAATCATTCGCACCTTTTTGAAATCTCTCCTGTCACCCACATCCTTTAATGTTGGTTCTCAGTTCAGTTTTTACCACAGAACAGAAGAAGCACCAATGTTATAACCAAGGATCTATATTAAGCGCGCACTTACGTTAGTCCAACTGAACAGAAAACTGTCTTGGAGTAAAATATCTATTTGTTCCTGAAGAGTTTCCCAGAAAAAAAAAATGACGATGGAAAATGAAAGCCGGCAAATTATTTTCCGTCTTGATGCAGTGTCTTTTCCAGGGATATTTAATCTGTTCCGTGTGTTATGTGGTAGCAAACGTTCATCGGCTAAGTTATAATGTTAATTCACTTTATGAGGTAATCAAAACTACGTTGTATTATAATCCAGTATCATGGCTTATTCTGGCATTCGTATCCCTCATCTCTTCCAGAAACCTGAAAAAAACATTACAACGCTCAGGCTTAGTCCATAACACGAACCTTTAAACAGGTATAATCGTACAGTTGACATTTACCAGTAGGTTATAGGTAACACTGAGTCAGAATGACGGAAAGTCAAATTTTAACAGAATCAGGGGAAAATTATGATTATTAATTTGTTAACGTGTTAATGACTACTTTAGCTGAGTAAGATGTGCAGTTGTTGTATGTACAATGTCCAAGAGTTGTTCTATTGTAAATAGCATTATGTACATCAATCATCCAAACAATCACATATTAATGAACGTTTCTCCTTTTAACATGTGACCGTGACAGTATTTCTTTGTTCTCTATACGTTGTTATTACAGATGACTAGTTTGGTCGCGTTTATTGACTTCTTGGTTTATTTGAACCATGGTCAGAAGGACGTCAGTAGCAAGTGAGCATTCGTCCAAACACACCCTTCCATATACCAGTGACAATCTTTCCCCTCTTTCCATTCTATGTGAAATCTTCAGCTAATACACATTATTAACTTTCTTACGAATGACTGTGCCAATCATATTCCAATCAGATATTAATGGAGTTATCAAGTGATACTTCAAATTGTGGGTATCTGGATGACGAAAATAATGCCTTTGGTCAATGATCATGATACCTGCCAAAAGATTAATAATTTGTATACCAATACCAAACTATTTACTTCGTACACTAGGCCTACTTCATTTTGGACTGTATTTTTGAAGCAGTCCATTGAGTGCACTTTTTACAGGCACTATATCCCTGAGTTTGAAATCTTTTAGAAATCTTCTAAAACAACCCTTTCTTCACCCCCTCTCTCTCTCTCTCTCTCTCTCTCTGTTACCACCAGCACTATTACTACCCCACCCCTAAAGCCCACCACTGCACCCCACTCTCCTGGCAATACGTCACTGCTAGCTACTTCAACACACGTCGCTAATTCGCTTGAGTAAGCACACCAATCAGAGCTCGTAAAGGCAACTCTAACAGCCTGGCAAAGTTTACTTTGAACCACTATCAGTCCAGCAAAGCTCCTGCTTCTACGGTAAGCTCTACGGGTGCAAACTGGTAGTGAGCTTGGGATTCGTTATCATATCAGTTGTGTTTTATCCTGCAGCAGAGATAGGACGTCGAGTTTGTTTGTGAAACATCGCAACCGCTATCCTTGTTTTACCCTCGTTAATCTTGATAGTCGAGAGTAACAACTCCTTTGGACTATTTTTTCCATTCATTTTCTACTTTCCATACTTTTACTCGCGGTTGGTACTGTTTGATTTTGATATAGATGTCCCGTTTTTCGTCGAATTGTTCAATTCATGGAACAGAGTGCTAGAGTTTGGGCAAGCTCGGTCGAAGCTGGACCCGTCAAGCCTGCCTCACCTTATCAATCAACACCAACCAAAAACTCACATTCAGATAACAACAACAATAATAACAACAACAACAACAAGGTGATTGAACGACGTCCAAGCGAGGTGGACATTGAGAGTCATCGTGAGGTGATCATTGACAGCGGGAGAGTAGCAAGAGACGATCACAGCGACGACGACGCTGAAAGCAGCTTTGATAGAGAATTCGAAGAGGGAACTGAAGGAGAAAAGGGGAGTCCTGGAAGTGGAGACAACCAGGAGAAGACAGAGATCCACGTTCCTGTAGATTCTGAGTCAATCAAAGACGAGCCCTTGTCACCCGTTCAACAAACCTCATTCACCGGTGGAGAGTCAAGCCGAGAGTTCTGGGCCAAACACGAAGCAAAGCGTGGTATGCCACATCAGGTCGGTGTAAGTCATCTCCAACCTGAACATAACAACAGCAACATCCTACTACCTAAAGAAGACGTGGAGGTTTTCTTCAGTAATCTTGATAAGAACCCTGCCACAGGACTACATCAGCAGTATCTTTATCCCCAGTATCATTTGACAAGCGAATCCCAAATGTATCAAAGCGCCAGTATCTCCTTGCAGAGTGCTCTGCAACCCACTGTCTCTCCCGGTGGCATGCCGCCATCTCAACAGCCTGGTTATGAGGCATCACCTGCCTCCTACATCCATTCATCAGCTAACCCTGTCTATGTACCAACTACCCGTCCAACTTTCTCTGGGATGCATCATCCAGCTCAGTTCATACAGCATATCCCAGCCGTTAGCAGCCCGAATCATCAGAACCCGAGCGTGATCCAGGCCAATGCTCACGCTGCTGCAGCCGTGTGGAGTCCGCAGTCTGATGGTAGTGGTGGTGGTGGAGTGGTTGGCGGGGATGGCCATCATCGAGGGTACTCCTTCCCCCCTAGTCCAGCGTTAACAACAGCCAACAGTCCGCTGTCTGGTCGACACCCTGGCTCCACACCTAATGGTCTGGCTGGCTACTCGCCATATACCGATCCATGGTCGGGCTTTGATGGGTCGATGTTGCATTCGAGTATGGGCAGAGCTGCAGCTGCTGGAGGAAACTTTGCAGGACGCAGACCGACAGGTAAGCAAAATTAATTATTGATGGATAATAATTGCAATGACCATGATAAAATATTGACATTAAAACTGATTATAAAATTGTGATGAATAATGTATAATAATTATGATGAACTAAACGTTTATGAAGATAGGAAAGGGCATTCTTCAAGACTCCTATTCTTGTCTTGATGATGATGATGATTGATTATTGTTTGGCCTCTGCTAAGAATTCAGGTATAATAATGCTTGTGAGTCGTGGCTTGCAATGGTTTCGGTACCTGGGCCTCCCGGTTACAAGAACGCTGCTCTACCACTGAGCCATCGCGCCTCCTTAATGACTCGCTACTGATGTTTAATTAACTTTCATAAGTTTAAGTCGTCTATTATTACTCGACAAAATGAACTTAAACTCGGTATGTAGAGAGTGAACTAACGACAACTTTGATAGTTGAGATCTGCGTTTACCCTTCTTTGTGACAGAGATGTGATGATACTAAATATAGCCCAGTGAAAAGTAAATGTGGGAAAAAACACATGTACTTGAAATGAGGAAGATACAAATACTATCATGAATTAGCCATGTAGGAGATAAAAGCGGGTGAAAACAGATAAAGGAGTGAGAAAGGGAGAGAGAGAGAGAGAGAGAGGAATGATCAAAATGACAGGCGAAATAAGCATATTGGTGATGTGTAATGGTGGCGAATTGACTGACAATAATCATCAAAACATTTAGTTTCATTTAATGTATTCTCATAGCATAGTCGTATAATCTGGTAGTGATAGTAATAATAAGGTTATCAATATTCAACGTTTTTGACATTGTGACAGTGACATAATATCCATCCACAGTGTTTAGAGATATTCCAAGAAATAAACTGTACAAGAACTTGATGAAAATGTCTCTTGAAAAGCGGTAAGGTAAAAGCGCTTTAACGCTATCATCATAATCATCATTTATTTATGTGATATTGTTATCTCCCTTCTGCCTTTGTGCGTTTACAAACTCCATACAGAAATTAAAGAAATGTTAATTAAACAAATACAAATTAAAAATAATACCTGTTTGGAAGTACGTTTTCATTTTAAGCAATCAGATTTTAAGGTACTATAGCCTACACAACATTATTCAAAAGAGCAAAAGAGTAATTTTTTCGGAAAGTCGGGTCTGGGTTTTAAGGTAGTTTATTTCTTTTGGACTAAATTCGGTAGGAATTTAGTTTGTTATGCATCAGATATTAAAGCAATATCGCGCAAGAAGAAGAAGAAGGGTTGGAGACACAACCTCATCACCGATAGTGACGATATGAGCTTCACAGGTTTGAAATACAGTTCTTAAAACTGTCTTTTCTATTTTCATAAAATCTCCTTTTCTCTATCCCCCTCCCTACAGTATTACTGTTGTTCGTCATCTCCTCTTCTTTATCTCTTTCTCTCTCTTCCAGTAAAGCTCGACTATTATCTTTCGATATACGTTCTCTTAAATGACCCTCTCTCTGTTTGTCTATCTCTCTTTCTTTTTCTCTCGCTCTCTGGATCTGTTCTGTGTACTGGTTAGTTATGTTGCGATTTCTATAACAAAGAATTATAAGAGAGGGGATTTATCAACGTGTTTTTGCACAGTTCAATCTTTCCTTCTCTTCGCCAACACGAGATATAGTTTTGGTTGGTATTATGACTAGCAGAACTAAAAACATGGAATGCTCAAGAAGTATCCTTTATCTGTAACCATGGAAACGGGGAAGGGTATCACCTTTCAGACGATGAAGAGACAAAATTATTATCAAACAATATCATGAGTTGTGACAGAGAACTATCGAGCTTTTTGGTGAGGTGAATCCGTGCAGTACTTTTACGAACGAAATTTTGATGGAGAAATAATCTGTTCTCTTGTTCTTGGCCCTGATATATTAAATTTTACTTTTTAAATATGATATAGGCCTATATTTATTGCTATTACCGGTCGTGAATGGATGCCGAATTTACACATTTAGTTAAAAACTTAAATGGATATTAAGTAAAATAATCTTCATCTGAATATGGTAGGGTTCTGAAAAGAAATTATTAAATTTCGAATTTCGATACTTAAATCCCTTTCATTGCTCAATAAAATATCGACCTACACGAATTTTACCACTTTATTCCAGGTTGAAAGGAAAGTGGATCAGAATAAAAATGGTCAAATCCGTAACAGAGAAAGAAATTAAAAAGGTAATAAACTTTGAAATATGTGTAGCTCTATTTTGGAGTCTTACTAGACCAGTCAGTCAGTGGGCTCTATACTGCACTGTCACCTTATCAACATCAATGCCATTAAATTAGCAGTAAACGGTTAACAAGATAAAATGTTGACGTATCATCTATTTTATCACAATTTATCATACCGATAAATCGTACTCTAATTTTAATGTCACTTGTAGTAATTGTGATAAGACGCTAATAGTGCATATATACGATAGGCTGTCTGGGTGTTTTTATCGCATTAAATTATTTAATGAAAAGAATTTAGCTCTACTCTCTTGTTATCTTCTATATTTCACTTTAAAATAATTATGATGAACGAAATTAAAATGATAAATGGGAAAAGCTTGGAAATACTGCAAGTATTAATTTATTGGAATTGTTACAATGTTAGATTTGTATTCACCACTCGCAGAAGCCATTACTTTGATAAATTAGTTGTACATCACTAAATCAATATTCAATATTCTGGAACTTTGAGCAAAATCCGTTTTTGTTTTAGCGGCAAACCGGCGGGCTAAAGCACACGAACTCAAACATAAATCTTGGCACGTGTACCCGTAGATTGGCGGTAAGCTTTGTAGTCATTCTACTGGCACCATCCTTACATACACTCATTCTCCCACCTCCTTTTTTCTCTTTTGTCGCTAAATTTGATTTTGAAGTTGGTTTGTTCTTCTACCCGTGTATCGTTGTTCATCGAGCAAATACGTATGTTGTTTGTCGTCGCACTTGAGCCGCGAAATAATCACAGCACTACAAAGAAAACACTCCGGCGCAAACTGCTGAAAACAAATCGTATGAATCATGTGAACTGTGTTTTATGAATGCCATCGCAAGCAGACAATTCACTTTGCTTTGTAAAGCTTTGTACTTCTATGAAAGCGATCTCGTACAGTTACAAGGGATTAGTAAGAGATTAATGGATGAACCTGGACAAATGCTAGAATAAAAGGGTAGCTTGGGATTACAACCTTTTTGATTAGCGCCGCATTTTCTTCCCGATGTTCTTCAAGCGGTGACTAATAATCTTGCAGATACATGCTATTCTATGTCCTGTTTGTCTGGAAAATATGTGGATTTTATAATAAAATAATTACCCTTCACCTGAATTAAAGAGGCGAAGAAAATGTTAATGTTCATCGTCCGACAAACATGTACAATTCAGGTTCCGACCTGGTTATGTTATGGCACGGCACAGCGGTGGTATAGGAGACCGATCGATTGGTTTAATACCATTTCGCTATAAGAAAATATACAATTACAAATTATAATAAAGATTCAGTTTGTACCTTAAATTTGACAGATGGAATTAAATATAAATCGAGGAATCATTAATGCTTAATTCATATTTTTTTACGATTCGGCCGTAAATCAATTATAATATCATAATGTTTAAATTCCAAAACTTTGAAAGAATTATGAAAGATGCATTTACTTTAATTGAGGATCTAATCAATTTTTGTTATGAATAAAACAATGGGAAAGATACTCTCTGTGATAACGTTTCGCTAGTACACCTGGGTAAACTAAATTCTTCTCCTTCTTCCCCTGCTTTTTCTTTTTTCTTGTTTCTTCCTCTTCTTCCTCTTCTTCCTCTTCTTTTCTTTTCTTTCTTCGTTTTCTTCTACTTCTTCTTCTTCTTCTTTTTCCTCTTATCATTATTCTTATTATGATTATCATTATTATAATAATTTTCGTTATCACTCGAATGAATCTGCTATCTAGATTTGTCGTATTAACAAGATCATTGTAATCGTACTTGATTATGCGGCCACTCACAACGGCAGTCTGACCGTCTTCCCAACGGACATTTGAATTGACTTTTTCATTTACCGGTATTCTGATATTTGGTATTTAAGTGAGCTGAACTTCTGAAGGCGCAAAAAAGTCCTCCTCTACCATAGCATTCATAATAATCTCTTCGAGTTGTTTGATTGTATGATACAAAATTAAGAATGACAGATTCAGCATTTAGAATGCGCTTCAATCCGAGGAACCAACCCAAGCATAGAAACCAGTGCTGTACCCTTTAACTCATCAAGGTAGTAAGAACACGTTTAAGTGAAATAAACTTCCTCATGTAAATATATCCTTGTATATGTAGTTCATGGCTTTTTTAGAATCTTGTTCAAACAATCATTAAATTCAGGAGTACCTCCCTCATAAACCCCTCGTAAAATCTTTCGCTTTTCAAAGTTTGAGGCGCTGTATCGATTCGATGCAGCTTTCGGAGTGTCCTACCGGATTCTCTGTCCATCCTGTTGAATCGGCTCAATACAGAAGTAGTTAAATCACACGGAATATACCTGGTGGATTTTAGAGGTTGTATGGTCAGTTGGAAAGGCCTCCGCACTACTGACTCGGATTCGAGTCCCGTGCCACTGTATTAACTTCCTTTATTTTAGTTAGACACCAACAGTGGTCAGATATGCGTACACGGGCCCCCAGGGAATATCCTTAAAGTTTGAACGCGTTCTGAATGTACACATTTGAATTACAAACATTACAAACGCTATTAAAAAGAGTGTAGTTTAAATTTTATCTTTTATGAAAAAGAAAAATATTATTTAAAAAATTAACCGAAACGCCCTTTCCTAACTTTCAAGAAAACTTGAACAATTTCGATAAATATTCCGCTAAGATATTCTCTTGATAAATTGTTATTTTCCCCATAGTTACAAATCTTTCAGAATTTATCGGATATTCACTTGAATGGTTAATGATATGCTATATTGTTTTGCAATAACGACCGCATTTTCATCAAAAAATTACTAAAAACCTATTTCACACAAATAATTGTGAAATATCAAGCCCTCGGATTTCACTGAGTCCGGAACCCCCAAATTTAGAATTTTAGGGGGCGTAAGTACATCGACCTTGAAATTGAAATCCATGTGCAGAAAGTGAGTTTAGAACCCTGGATAAACGGATATTGATTAAATATTCAACTTACTGAACATTACATTTAATAACTGAACTGTTAATGATTGTCATTAGGTACATAAATGAGTATATTAAGAACTGTCCGTAATGACTTTATTATCCACACACCCTCAAAAAAAGTAGAAGAAAAAAAAAGAATTGTTGAGGTTATATTACCCGCCCTCCCAGCGCATACAATCATTTTTGATTGAATTCCTAAGAACTGGATTTACTCGAGTACCTCAAAATGGTTAGCGAGTCATTAAGACAATGGTAAATGTTACTAGCTGAAGAAGAGGCGGGTTCTTAAAACCGGTGCAAATATTTGACTTGCGGACCCCGAGATTTGGGATGAGGGTCATTTATACCCTTCAAACTGGATCTGAGATTCCAGAAGAATAGAGGCGTTAAGGAGTGGGATTCTACATTAACTGGTCGTCTGTTTGCCTACAGTCGGTATCTTCAAACATTATTAGCAGAGATCACGCTAAAGCTACATACTGACGGTTTAAAGCAGAAATCTGACCTCAAATTTTGTTATTTTTTAAATTGATATATATTAAGTATGCAAACTTCGAGAAATGGATAAAAAGTTTGAAAACAATGAGACAAGCTATAAGAAAATTATTTATTTTCAATGATATGAATTGAATTGTGACAAATTGGCTATTAGATCAAGAGTTTGAAAGGCCCGATATAATGTATCACTATTGACCAGTTAGCCTTTTCAGTAAGCCTACCACAAGGTGTCACCGAAAGCCTAAAATGGGAATATTCACCTGTTGTTTTGGAGAGAAAAAATTATCACCGATGTGCCATCCCTCTTAGTCATATCTGCCTACCGATCTTCATATCATTAAATATGTCATAACTGTCATAAAGTTGTTTGATTGTTTTAATCTATTCATTCTCTTTGGCTCTATTGGTTCCAATGAAGCAAGGCATGTTGGCCTTTCATAGGTCATTGCAGCCATTCGATCGCAGTATGGTAGGTCACATATAGCTTTGTATTATACAGTAAAGAAGTTGTAGCTCTGGATTATAAAAGAGGGTGAATGATTGGAGAAGATTTGTTTTCTCCATACGTCATAAGTATAGCCAAGTATAGCCAAGTATAGCCAAGTACAGCCTACACAAAAAGGTGGTGTTAATCTTAGTTTTGTATGATAGCTCTGCAGTGGTAATATAATGACGTGTACAATTGAAATGATTTAAGTGAATTACGTTTTCTTGAATTTGCTCAGTTCTCTGCTTTTAGACAAATCTATCATTTGAAAATGTTCACGTCGAAAATAAATGTACTTTTCGTTGTTCACGGAGATGAATAGAGGTGAGATAGAGAGACGAGGTGAAATTGAGAGAGAACAAGAGAGAGAGAGAGAGAGAGAGAGATAGAGAGAGAGGGGGGGGGGGGGTTGTCAAATCATGGTCTGCTTGGTCACCTCATGGTAGCATCCAGTCGCCATATTCTGTAAACAAGGGAGTGCTTGGTTGTAAAAGTCTCTTTTTGTCTGAAAAGTTTCAAGTAAAATGACATTTTAATCATTGTGGGTTCGGGGAGTAGGTGGTGACAAGAATTAGCCAGATATATGTCAAACTATTAAGACATCGCTACACTTTAACGGCTAGGAGAATAGTTGTGATATCAGACTTCTCGTGTCGAACAGATTGAAGCAAATATAAAATGGGAGAAAAAGTTAAGAAATTCGTAAAATACTTACCAGCGCAAACCAGCGCAAACTTGTCCCTCGAAGCTCGGCCCGTCCGAAGCTCGGCCCGTCCGCTGTAATGATGACTGCAATCATTTCTGTGACTGACTTTTTTCGCCGATAGTGAAAATGCAGTAAAATAAATGCCAATTCATTTAATCTTTTGAAAGAAGTGGAGAAAATGAAATGGCATCCTTTCTTTAATATTGTCACAGTGGTCTTGAGTTTGATTGTTTTCTAGCATCATTATTTATTTCATTCCTAAAAAGTGCAACACCGTTTAAAACATAACTCCTCCTACTTTTCAAAGTAAATAATTTCTCAATTTTGTAGCCGCTTCCTTGTTCTTATCGTCAATACCTCTGCAACAGATATGTAGACCCATCGTACTTTGTATCTTTTATTTTTTTATAAAACATTTTTTTTTTCTTTAATAAGTCTCTTCATAATAGTGTTTTTTCTTCTTTAATAAGTCTCTTCATTATGGGTTATTTGATACAATTAAAAACTGTGGCCATCATTGCCTCGCAAGGAGGCTATTTGACATGTTACCATGGTTACGGGAACGCTATAATTGATAGTATACTATAGTAACAGCTTGAATCCGTTCGGCGACATGATTGAGCCAAACAAATCGTCTTGATTTCTTTATTCTCTCGACGACCGTATGGTTAATCCTAGTCGTTTTAGAGTCGTGAAATGACAAGTCTTGATCAAATATTGTAAATAAATTTTGATGGTGATTAAAGTCTTGCTCCTGTGTGGTATGGTTCGTCAGTGCCTGGCAGCTGAACCAGGGACATGTCTCTGGCTGAACAAAGCCACACAACCTCGGTAGGTCGGGAGGTGTGGAAGGGAGCAGAGATAGATGAGATGCGATGATGGGGGAAGGAGATGGGTGGGGGCATTAGGAAGACGGTATCATGGCCTCATGGAGACCAAAAGGGAAATGATGGGAGTTGTCCAGAAAGCTGACGAAATTCACTCGGACATTCGGGAGCTGAGGGTGTGATGATGTTAAATTCGTTTTTTTAAGATCTTCGTATTAATATACATGTAGATTGGAGTTAGCCATAATGATAAAGGAATGCGATTTAAACAGTGACTAAGAAAAAAAAAACCCAAATAAAATGAGAGAGTGGCTTTGATAACGATATATACTGATGATGATGACGGCGACAACGATGTCGGTAACATCGGCGCTGACGAACAATGTAGGTGAATGAACTAATTTAACATTAATCATAACTACACTAAACTTTGTCAAAGTGATATTCATGATGGTGTTGATGACGTATAATTGAATGAAACTCCGTACCAGTATCCTAAGTCTAACATTGTCTAACAGGGTCATTAGAGCAAGCAAAATGAGGTTGAAGTCCTTCTACAACAAACACGCAACCACACACCAAAGAAGGGCCATTTTAATGTCATTTCTCATTCAGGTGTTTCATCAGACCTACTTTGTGATCTTGAGGGAAAGAATATCACCCTTCTCGGGGAAGAATGAGAAATATAAATCCGGTTTTAAGACACATCTGTAAATTATCATTATTAATGATATCCATGCAATGCCAATTAAAATATATTGCATGAAAATAACGTAACCAAAGGCATGAAGCTTGCACTTCAAATGCGAAAAGTTTAACAACGATTTTATGTAATACGAAGTGAACATAGATATTCTAGCTAGGTAATTGTGATTAAAATTATTTATTTTCAAATGGATATAGATTGGAGGTTAATATCTAATTAAATTTTCGTTAATTTGTCTTGGTCCCAGTTATCACAAAAGAGTTCCTTCTTCCAACGGTGCAGTCTAGTACTTTTCCTTTTTACGGTGAGCCAAAGAAGGGAAACGTCTTCAAGCAATAAATCAAGCCGAATAGCATTCCCTAATAATGTATACAGCGGTTTTAGACATGGCGACCTCTGCTTGAAAGTTCACTATCCGTTTATTTGAAATGTTGACTAATATGCCATCAAACACACGTCTCAAAACTACTAGTCTTTATCTTCTAACACTTTTAATTATTACCTATGGTGGCCCTGAAGGGACATCGCGAATAGACTAAATCGTGAAAAATATGCGATAAAATTCACGATATCGTCAATTTTATCGCATATTTTCACGAAGAAATTCACGAAATTGACGATATCGTGAACTTTATCGTGAACTTTTCACGATGAAATTGACGATATCGTGAATTTTATCGTGAAAAGTTCACGATATAAAGTTCACGATATCGTCAATTTTATCGTGTACTCTATCGTGTACTCTATCGAGTCTATCGTGTACTCTCCTGACGGGCGCTTCGTAAACAAAACCAGCCCTAGCTGGGGGAGACAGAGAGAAGGAAAAAAGGGAAAGGGAAAGAGAAGATAAAAGGAAAGAAAGAATAAGAAGAAGAAAAGAGGGAAACGGGGGGGGGGGGCGAAGGGCTCTTGCCTCCTCCTCACTCCCCCCCCCCCTCCCCGCCAAAAAATAAATCAGAGAGAGAGAGAGAGAGAGAAGGGAAAGGGAAAGGGAAAGAGAAGATAAAAGGAAAGAAAGAAGAGGAAGAAGAAGAAAAGAGGAAAACGGGGGAAGGGCGAAGGACTCTTGCCCCCCCTCCCCCCCCAAAAAAAAAAAATCAGAGAGAGAGAGAGAAGGGAAAGGGAAAAGGAAAGAGAAGATAAAAGGAAAGAAAGAAGAGGAAGAAGAAGAAAAGAGGGAAACGGGGGCAAAGGGCTTTTGCCTCGTCCCCCCGCCCCCCGCCAAAAAATAAATAAGAGAGAGAGAGAGAAGGAAAGGGAAAGAGAAGAAAGAAAGAAAAACGAAAAAGAGGGAGAATAGGAAAGAAAGGAAAAGAAAGAAAAGAAAGGAGGCAAGAGCCCTTCGCCCCTGTTTCCCTCTTTTCTTATTCTTTTTCCTCTTCTTTCTTTCCTTTTATATTTTCTTTCCCTCTCCCTTCTCTTTCCCTTTATGGCGGGAGGGGGGAGGGGGAGGTAAGAGCCTTTCGCCCTTCCCCCATTTTCCTCTTTCCGTCTTCTTCTTAGTTCTTTCCTTTTATATTTTCTTTCCCTTTCCCTTTCCCTTCTCTCTCTCTCTCTCTCTCTCTTATTTATTTTTTTGGCGGGGGGGGGGGGGGGGGAGGTAAGAGCCTTTCGCCCTTCTCCCGTTTCCCTCTTTCCTGATCTTCCTCTTCTTTCTTTCCTTTTATATTTTCTTTCCCTTTCCCTTTCCCTTCTCTCTCTCCTTATTTATTTTTTGGCGGGGAGGGGGGGGGGGGGGGGAGTGAGGAGGAGGCAAGAGCCCTTCGCCCCCCCCCCGTTTCCCTCTTTTCTTCTTATTATTCTTTCTTTCCTTTTATCTTCTCTTTCCCTTTCCCTTTTTTCCTTCTCCAGCTAGGGCTGGTTTTGTTTACGAAGCGCCCGTCAGGAGAGTACACGATAGACTCGATAGAGTACACGATAGAGTACACGATAAAATTGACGATATCGTGAACTTTATATCGTGAACTTTTCACGATAAAATTCACGATATCGTCAATTTCATCGTGAAAAGTTCACGATAAAGTTCACGATATCGTCAATTTCGTGAATTTCTTCGTGAAAAATATGCGATAAAATTGACGATATCGTGAATTTTATCGCATATTTTTCACGATTTAGTCTATTCGCGATGTCCCTTCAGGGCCACCATAATTACCAAATGCTTGCCATTTCACTGTATATTATGTTGTTATCCAGTAATCATGATCTTTCTTTGATTTTACTCGATATGAAAGTCTGAATGAAGTTCCTTTGTTAAACTAGTGTTCTGGCTAATAGAAAACCGCAGTGAATCACATACAAGACATGCAAGATGTTTTCATTGTCTGTACCTCACTGCTACCCTGAAGCCGTAGTTGGTATCTTTTCTGTAAAAGAAAAAACACACAATAAATACAAGCTTTTCACTTTTTGATCGGATTTCCTCAAATTTTCATCGCAAAGTTTCTCATATTTCTCGAGTTTATTCGATTCAACTTGATGTAAGGGTATGCTTCCCCGTTATAGAGTTCATCAACCAAACAAAGCTTGATTCTCTCTGGCAGAATATAGGCTGAGTGTAAGTCTAGCAGTGCATCCTAACCCGCGCTCTTTTGATGGTTACACTTGTATGAAACG